CGAAAGGCACCAGTCACGAAAACAGGTCAGTGTGATGAGGCATGGGCTCATAGCTGTGTCCGAGCGACAGGTGCTCGAGTACTGATCAATGTGCCTGCTTTCCAATATTGACACACACTTGAATGACCCCGAGCCACGCCGAACTTCTCGTATGCTGCTAAATTCTGACTTTCATATGACCAGCATTCTATGCTACTCCTAGGAAACCAAGGTGTATGCACAGAGGAATATAGAAACCATAGGTACCATCGCAGGACCCACTGCTTGCGATCCTCCAATCTATATATCGACTCTTCGAGTCGATCGATCTGCCACATATGTAGTGCTATACATGGACAGCAATCTGCCCAATCCCGTTGTTTGATCCCAGCGGCATGTTTTGCGCATTCCCTCGTTGTTTTGATGGCGTCCAGATGTGTGTCGATCATCTTCTGTAGTCTGGAGCGCATGACGACAGGTTCAAGGTATGGCAAAGGGACACGAAAGGAAATAAAAGACTATGCTGACTTATAGCTTTGTAAACAGCGCATTCACTCTCCTTCCCACAGAAAGAAGTGGTGCTCAGTATCATGATCGCTATCTCGCAACCATCGGAATAAGTCCTTTTCTCGTCGAAGTTAGCATCTTGCATGGCAGCTAAGCCATCGATGTGATCTGGTCATTGATTGACCGCTTCCAGACTTGTAAGGAGTAAGTCAGAATCTTGCTCCTCTCGAAGGAGTTGTAACGGCTCCATATAGTCGATTTTCAGGTACCCAACCTCGAAACCGAGCACAATGCGCAATCCAGTACATATCGCATACCGACGGTCTAGCAGTCGCGGCCTATGGTGTACCAAGTATTTCTCAAACGTCCCGAAGTCCTCTAGTCCTGATATACGTTGAGCTTCCTGCTCGGAAGCAAGCATCCAGAACGGGTACTGCATACCGTCACCCACTACATCGAATAACCTCGACATTGTTTTCCCTGCCTGGATACGGACTTTGAGATCTTGCTCTCGAATATTGCTTGACGCGCCTAACTCGGCAAGAATCTCTTCATAAGCGACCGTACTCGCCCACCTCGTATGTGCACGTGGTGCTTCTTCCCCATTGTATTTCATTCTCTTTCGCCTTAGACACTCTCTCCTGTGTCTTTCATTAATCGTCCTCCGCCGTGCTTGAAACTCGTGCCAAAGAATGACGTGTGCTAGGGTCACATACCAATGTGACTGAGTCTGCTGGGTATGAGCACTAGCGAGAAGCTGCAAAGCTGCATAAAGTGTTGATGGAGGAGGCGCTAAGCTGCGTGATTGTGCACGCCGAAAGCTGGCGATACTTGCAAACACCTCAGGACTCGCGAAGTCGAACCGACCTTCGACAATGGTTATAGACCCTACAAAAGGAGAATATAAGTCCGCAGTTTGACTTTCACTAGTCTTCAGTAAGGGAAGGAAAGCCTCGGGCTTAAGCTGTCGAGTCCGTAACCATCTGACGACTCTGGCTAAGTAATAACACCTTCGTGCGAGAGATCCTTGAGGTATCGTTGCTCCAGCTTCATCGTTGATCAGCACTTCAGCTTGCGCGAACATTACCAAAGCACAATCGATACTGTTTTGCTGCGGAAAACGTGGTGCCAAGACCTCGGTTCTCATTGTGGAGATAGTTGTGACATTGAAATTATCAACCCACTTCTCGAAGTCTTCGGAGGCATGACCATACAGCCTAATCCGTTGTGCCTTAGGCGATATCACGACTAGCTCCCAGTGCCTGTTATAGCATCGCGGCAAGAGGACATGGTCAACTTCTTCAAGCTCCAAATAACCCAGCGCCCAATTCTGAGGAGGGCTGCCATAGTTGCTGGCGCTGCTTGCTAGGTAAGTCGTCGTCGCACTTGTAAGCATATCCATCGTAACGTCGACGGCAGTGTCATTCAAGTAAGCCTGGTCCGGTCTGCTGACGTCAGAGTTGTATCGGAGAAAGGAGCTTTGTGCTTCTTGCAAAGAGATCCTTAACACTTTCTGTGATGATTCAATAGCTTCTGAGATGAGACTCTCAAGCCTTCTCTGAGCATCATGCTCTGTCAGCATGATACACATGTCATCTGCGACAAACGGTTTGTTGGACGACCTTTCATTGTGATCATTACTGTCATCATCATCCCCAGCAATCTCTAAATATTCTATGGACGATCTGGGCGGCTGAACCTGCGCAGCTGAAATATCTTGTCCAGGCGAAAGGCGTATGGTGGTTTTGTTCCTCCGCGGTCGCTTCCTCCTGGGACCCGTTACAGGTTCTACTTGAGTTTCTCCCGCTGGATTAGCTGAAGGTCTTGTAGGAAAGTCCACGGGCCTTTCCAGTATACACTTTGAGAACATAGCCTGCACCAGGTGGGTAACATGTTCCTGGCCATTGTAGCAGGCCTCTATCTCTGTTGTACTAGGACCGTGGCAAGGCAGGTAGGAGATAGGTGGGCGCCAAGTACTCTCGCATCCAATCACAGCTTCCGCAACGCTAAATCCTGTGTTAAAGGTCTGATGATACGCACAATGATCCGTCACAATCAGGTCGCCAGGATTCTGAGTCACAATACTATATTGAATCTCCCATAACCTCAGTCTTCGAGGATCAATCAAGATGTTTTGATGTCGGACAAACTGATCGCAGGTATAGGATAAAGGTGTCAATTCCGAAAGACATGCTTCAAGCTTTGAGGACTCTCTAGCTGGAATTACGATCCAGATTTGAGGTGAGCCTCTGTAAAGCATATTCGCTGAAAGCAGATCCATATCCTTCTTTTGAAGTGTGCCAACGGTCTTGCCCTCGCTGATGAATATAGAAGACTCATTAATTCCGGATAAATCTAGTGTGGCTAGCCTAGCTGACGTCCTCAATGGACTCGGCAGAGCTAACCTATCTCGAAAGTCATGATCAGCATCATCCACGACGATGAGATTATTGCGAGACGAGTAGCATTGGTCGAAGAACTCTTCAATCCATTCATTAGCTTGCGCGTCGCTCCAAATCGTTTCTTCGAAGTCTGGTATCTGGTACGGCTCAGCATCGCCTATTGATCTTTCGTCAAGCACTACCTTCCACCATCCGTCCTCCTTCTTCAAAAATTGTCTTTGACATCTGGCAATACTTAACGGCAGAGGCGACTCCGGTGAGTCATACAAAGAATAGTCTTGTGCTGTTTTACTGTAGCCATCCCGAATGAAGGCATCCGAAGTAGATTCCCAGAACGTCGGCGGGTCCATGCTCAGGAAATCTGATGTAATAGCGCAATGCGGTCAGCTCACTATATATCCTGCGCCTATGGTTCCACTAACCAGAATGCAGCGGCTGGCAGCTTTCTTCGTGGCGTGTCGAGTAAAAGTTGGACAAATATTACCTCAGGAATACGTGGTATCTTAGCGCATGGGTACCATCTTGCTTGAGTCGCCTTGCCATGCGAGTCCTCCAACCACAAATACACCTTTGCCGCCACCAACTGGCAATGTCGCAAAACCATCTCGAAGTCTTCAGTGGCGTCTTAGGTAGGGTGACAAATATCAGAAACATAACCACGTCATTAGTACCTGCTACTGCTGAAACTGCAAGAGCTCACCTTGTCCCATACTTGAACACAGAGTTCGATCCGGCTCATTCTCAATGCACCCTGGGTGGAAAAGATCTGGAACTGTCAGGCCGCTCGACCGGACAGGCAGGACTGCGTATACTTTCTGAGAAGTGTATGAACACGCAAGTCTTGGGCTGAGTTTGCCTGTGTTGGTAAGCTGTGAATTTCTCTTCTACGAAGATAGTGACGAAAACGTCCTCAGATGCTGGCCACGTTTGCCCCAAAATGCGTTGGCTTTGACACGAAAAGAGATTTATTGCAGTGAGTACTTCGACTATCTATCGTTACCTACCAGACGAAATTCAATGTACTCGAGATTTCCCTGCAATGGACGCGGATCGATTCCTGTTCACCAACTGATGACTGTGAATGTCCGCAAAGACCAGGTCCGTGTTGAATTGTAAGGCTGGTCAACTTATCAGTGAGCTGTCTCACACAGGGCA